GACGGTTTAGCTAATCCGTGATACCTCAATAACACCGGAAGAAATGAAAACAAAATACCCTAGGAGATTGAAAAACATTTTCAATTTGAAATTTGTAGAAGGTTATCGATTACGACAGATTCCTGGAGAATGTCAAAGTGTACATTGTGATTATTGTCACTAAAATAAGGAGACCGCATAGACGGTTTAAAACTCTATCCTCACTTCGACGCTTCGAGAGAACTCAAGAAAATAACAGGAACCAGTTCATGATTTACTCCTTAAAGCACTTTTCCTTGCAAATCTTTTTACTCACATGCTTTTAGATGTGTTTTGCCTCGCTAATACGTAGATTTTAAACATGCCTCATGTGTATAATCATCCATGCGTTTAGATGAATGCGTAACTGTCATGGTGCCTACCTAAACCGACAGAATGAACTCTTCCTAACGCTATATATACTACGCCTCTGAAGAGAGACGAACGGTATTGGGACGGTATTGAATCGAGTCGAGCTGATAGTAGTTCACTTCAAACCAATCTGACAGCCATACTAACACCTTCCACCTCTTGTATTATTTTCCGTGCAATATATTCTTTGTTATTTCTACTCTTGGGTTTCGTATTGTTCTTCCTTGGACCATAACAGTAACCAAGGTAACGCAATAACAAATGAAATTCAAACAATTCTATTGTTTTCCTCTTGTTCCAGAAAGGATCAAATATTGTTTCTTCCATTAAATCAGTTTTAAGTATTGCGATTCTCATTACAGGTATAACACTTAAATTGCTGGCTTTTAATTTCCGATTACGACAGATAGCACAAGATGGCCAAAGTGTACAACGAGTGAAACGCTGTGACTATTAAAACTAAGATAGGGAGACTGTATAAACGATCTTAAACTCTATCCTCACTCCCACGTTTTGAGAAAAGTCAAGTAAATAACATCAACTGATTCATAATTTGCAGTTTATAATTTATAACTTTGTATCTTTACATTTAAATATTTATTTTATTTTTTCATTTATTTTATTCAGTTAGTGAATTTTAGCACGTCGGTGGGTACCACTCACATTCCTCTGAGAATTGTGGTTCATGGTGATATTCAAGGTAGAATAGTGCAAAGGTTTGTCGATTCCTTTTGCAGCGGGGATAATGAGATTACCCCGTCCTTCTCTTTGCCTATAGTGGCAGGAGTTACAAGATATTAGGTGGTTTTGAATTTAAAGTTTCCTTCTCCTAGACTGGTTGCCAACCAAGACTATAGGACCCAATCTGTCCTGATATTTAACCCATATTATACTACCACGATTATTTTGCTACTATACATGAATAAATTTTCGGTTTGAAATTCCCAATATGCTATTGATGCCACAAAATAACTGAAGAAGGCCAGAGCGTACAATGACTGAAACCTTGTGAATATTGAAATCAAGATAGAAATAAAAGACCGAGTAAACAATTCAGTGTGGGTGAATTATTTTCCACAATGCAGCCTTTTTCCCCACAGGCATAAAGTCGGAAGCTTATCACTGTTTTCATGGCAAATGTTCAGATGAGATCCATTTATGCTTTACACCTGTTCAAATTTTTGCATCCAGGACATGCCACGTTACATCCACGGATTCTATTCACACTCATTTCCCCCATGTTCCAAAGGTAAAGATAATAAACTTCCACCCTATTTTTCCAAGCACTGCCACTTTGTCAATCAAACTTTGTCATCACCCTTTTCATGATTTTCTGAACAAGACAACCTTAACCTCTTCAAATCTAGGCTCAGTCCACTTATCTTTTTAATGTTCACTTCCTACCATTTGTCTCTTTCTCCCATATACCTCATTCTTCATTACCATTCTAACAGTGGCCTTCTATTTAAGAGGCTGTTAAAACTTGTATCGGGCCTATTCTACACAGAGTGCTTTTTTCTCAAGAACGGACACTTTTGGGAACATAAACTGTGTGTGTGCTTTCCTGAACACTACAATCTTAATGTTTACAAGTCAAGGTTCAATTATCATACATCCTCCTTATCCTCATAATTTTCATTCCCTACCTCCTCTTCTCCCACCCATGTCACCCCCCATTGAGTATTACCTTATTACTAGTAACATTAATAGTCTAAACTATAATAGGGATAATTATCCATTTTAAAATTTCAATTACTGTGGGAAAAGTTTAAAGAAATAATCAATACACACACACATACATATATATATATATATATATATATATATATATATATATATATATGTATGTATGTATGTATGTATGTATATACAGTGTAACCCGGATATAAGAGAGTTGTCGGGACCGGAGAAGAAGTCTCTTATATCCGGGTTTCTCTTATATCCGGGTTTGGTCTATATTATATACATTAACACAGGCTCTATTTTGGGACCAGAGAAAATCTCTCTTATATCCGGGTCTCTTATATCCGGGTCTCTTATATCCGGGTTACACTGCATGTGTGTAATGGACTGTCCCGTCGTTTTCAGTTCAGTATTTATGTTTATGTTTCCGTATGAGACAACAATCCAGCACAGAATTTGCAAACAAGTCCATATGAGGGACATGTTGAAGTGTTGACCGTCGTATGGGCTGATGTATTAGCAGGAGATTTAGCGTTAATTCTTAATTCTCTCAGTTGGTTGAAACGATTCTTTTCAAAGTTAGTTATACCTCGGTAGCAGATGTTTCTCCAGTTTGCTCGGTTTTCGACAGCAAGTTCGAACTCCTCTAGAGGGATGTTTGTAGCAATTTGAAACGTAACCAAGGACGGTCTGCATTACGCTTACCATGAAAAAGTTGACTAAACATGAGAATTTTCGGCATCCGATCATCACTCATTCTGGTGACATGACCAGCTCATCTGAACTGTGATTGCATCAGAAAGGACCCAATACCACCGACGTCACATTTGATGAAAAGATCACGGTTAGAGATTTTCTCCTGTCGTGTATAACCGCATATATATATATATATATATATATATATATATATATATATATATATATATATATATATATATATATACAACCGTCAAACCGTCAATAATAGCAGATATTCAAAAAACATCCTTCGGTCGACAAACAATTATTTCGTCTTCAAGTTTTTGATTTTATAAGGAAAAAAACAACACATGCCTGATGATAAATAGAAGACTATTCGTAAGTACTAGCATTTTAAGAACACATAAACTGAAAACAACAGACATCAATTTTATATGCGAGGATCACTTCACTCTATGAATTAACAGTATTTTAATGCATACATTATAATACTAGCGATGGATGTCGCCAATAATCGCATTAATATTTCTGATTGATTCTATTTGTGATTATTTCTTTGAATATATATATATATATATATATATATATATATATATATATATTGAGCACTTTTTAATACTACTGTTTCCTGGTCGGATTCAACTCTGACCATTAACCTTTTACATATATATATATATATGTATGTATGTATGTATGTAAATATTAATGGTTCATAATTTGCAGCTTATACTGGTCGGATTCAACTCTGACCATTAACCTTTTACACACACACACACACATATATATATATATATATATATATATATATATATATATATATATATAAAAAAAAGAAAGAGGTTGTAGTGGTTCCAACGAGAGAAAAGTATGTATATTAAAAAGAAGAGAAGAGAGGTGCCGCTAACGTTTTTGGTTATAATGTGGATTTTTTAGAAAAAATATTATGCTTTATTTTCCATAATTTTACTACACGTGTTTCTGGTCTGGTGACCGTTTTCAGGTAAAAGCGGAGATTTCCACATATTATTAAAAATAATTAATTTTTTCCTTATGTTTTTCAATGTTAAATATTCTCGATATGAGACATTCTCTGTTTTTGTGTTAGTAATGGAATGTCTTTCTTGAATTGGCAATGAAGAGTTCTGCGCGAAGGGTCATAAAACAATTAAGATTGGTCCAAGAGAAATGATGAATTACTTATTGGCATTTTATCTTTTAATGTTTTACTGACCCCTCTGCGTTCTTAGATCTGTCTCCATTTTCGTGTGTTTCTGTCAGCATGCGTATATTTCGTGTGTTTTCTGTCAGCATACGTATATTTGCCCTCCATACATATACTGTCTTACTATGAGGAATTAGTAAACTCATTTGTACACATACATACATACACATACGCACATACACACCGTCCGACCACAAGGAATCTGTACATACACACATACATACACACACGCATACACACACGCATACACACATATACTTCTCAAGCAACATGGAACCAGTATACACATACACATACACACACACACACACACATACGCACGCACACGTACATACATACACACGTACTTCCTAAGATGTGTGGGGTTTGTGTGCGTGCTCGTGAGTAGTTCCCCTGTTTTGTCAACATGCGTATATATATATATATATATATATATATATATATATATATATATATATAAATGTGCATACCTATCCTCGTGTCTCCCGTATATGAGCGTGCGTTCATGTATGTGGGTGATTTAATCATTGTATTTGGTCACCTTGTGTGCATGTTGTGTGTTTTTGTGGGGGGGGGGTTATGACCTATTTAGTTCGGGTTTAAATTTGTTTATAAAGTTTTTTTCTTGTATTTGTAGGAACGAGTAATCGTCCGTTTGATATATCGGCACGATATTAAATTTACCCTGGTTACATTTGTGTTGTGATAAAAAAAGTTTTCTGTTGTCTGGCAATTTTATATTGCTTTTGTGTAGGGAGACCCTGTTGTTCAGTTGTCGGCTGAACAACAGGGTCATATATAGTGTGACGCTTAAGTAAAACTTTACGCACCAATTCTTGTTCTTCCGGATCAGACATGCCACAGTCTGTAATAAAGAAATGTTGTTCTTAGATTATTTTGTGAAGACAGCAAAGAAGAGTTTTTCGTGTAGTGAATGCAGACAGTAAAGGAAAAGTGTATGCATCATTCAAATTCCACAGTCAAAAAAACCATTTTCTTACAGCTTTCAGAAACTGAATCCACCATATGGCACATTTGCTTCTTTGAAATTGTAGGCATCTTCAGTTGCAACTGGAGCCAAATCAGTATCTTCATCATCCTCTTCCGAGAAATATTTCTCAATGATACTCAAGGCAGATTTGTAGACATTCTCATTTTCGTGAGACTGGAGGGCCTCAATTTTGTCTATACCACCACATTCCTCAATCATCATACAGACAGCATGATGCTGCTTGATTTTCTCAGCAGCCATCAAGATATTCATGAAGGCATCCAAGATTACCAGGATAACTTTAGGATCTTTAATAGTCAATAAATTAGAAAGGGGAGGAATCACACCCAACTGAACGAGATGAGCCACTTGCTCAACTGTACCACCAGAGGTTAGATTGGTAACAGCCCAAATAGCTTCCTTCTGGGTCTTAAAGTCACCCTTAGCCAGGTGATCAACAATAGGAGGAAGCAGCCCAATATCAATAACTCTTTGGATCTGAGCACTGTTTCCAGCAGTTATGTTACAAACGGTCCAGGAGGCTTCTTTCTGTATGTTGGGTCTGGGATGCTTCAGCAGATTGTGAAAGATGGGAAGAGCAGAGGAGTCTATTACAACTTGGGCTTGAGAATCGTCACCAGTGACAATGTTGTCCACTGTTCGCAGAGCTGGGGTTATCACAGAAATCTTGGGGTGTTGAAACAATTCCACAAGTTTGGGAACAACATTGCTATCGATGACGGCTTGAATTTTCTCATTTGGACCATCAGTTATATAGGAAAAAGCCCACAGGGTGTCAGAGAGAACTTCATGATCCGAATGCCGCAGGAGGCAAGAGAGTGTGGGAAGGCACTTTTGGATTGTAGCAAAGTCAGGTGAGGGGTTTTTGTTTCGGCACAGATTAGAGATTGTCCAGGTAATGTTTCTGAGGAAGCCAGCAGGAAGATCATGCTTGGCCAAAGACAACAATGGTTCCACAATGCCATTCTGAGTAACAAAGTCTCTAAGCTCTGGTCCATCACCTGCAATGTTGCCAAGAGCCCACACTGCCTGTTTACAAACATGGTGGTCACCAGAAGAGGAGGTTAATGAAATGAGGAACAGCACCAGCGTTGACTACAGATTTTGTTTGATCACTGTCACAGCAAAAAGAGAGAATACAACACCAGTAAGTGCAGCTGTTCTCTCTTTTTGCTGTGAAAGTACACGAATGAACCAGGGCCTCTTTTTTCTTAAGCTTCTCCGGAGCGGGGCGACTGTTGGAGGAGATTGTGTGTTATGTTCTGAGGTTTCTTCTGATCTGACAACCTCATGCGCAGAGTCTTCATCATCTGTATTTGGACGGCCATGGTATGTAGCTGCGACTGTCTCGGCTCTTGCCCACATCATGAGTTTAAAGAAAGAATCCAAATGCAATGCCCGGGTGGAGCCGACCGCGGGTGCAGATCTCGGTGGTAGTAGCAAATATTCGAACGAGAACTTCGATGGTTGGATGATGTTTTGCCAAATAGTAAGAAGGTGAACAAAGATGAGGAAGAATCTACTGAGAAACGGAATGTTCCTGTTGAACTTGAACAAGATGGTGGCACTGCTAATAAACCAACTTTCTACATTTCTGGAGACAGCACAAAACATGTTGTCCCTTCAGAGTTCCAACCAACAGATCCAACCGGTTCCGGGTTTGAGTTGGGATCAAATTCCATGTCTGCCGGGATTGAATGACGAGAGATGAAACAAGATAGTGGACCAATTTCACCGTTAGTTACTCCGCTGTCTATGCTACTGCAGCTGCTAGATGTTTTCAAGTTCCCCGTGCTCTTAGCAGTTCTCAAGTGTGCATGATTCTGATCAACAAGGCTTTTGCTAGATCTCTGCCGAAGTTGGTCAGGAGGTAGTTCTTAAGATTGGGAGATAAAGTTTGCATCAACACGTCATTCAATCCCGGCAGACATGGAATTTGATCCCAACTCAAACCCCCAGAAAATGTTTGTTCACCTTGTGTACAAAATTAAAAAAAAAAAAAAAAAAAAGAATGTTCTGAAGATTCTTCTTCTGAGGATTCTTCTGGTCTGACAACCTCACGCACAGAGTCTTCACCATCTGAAGAGGTGCTAGCCCTACCTCGGTTGGATCTGTTGGTTGGAACTCTGAAGGGACAACAAGTTTTGTCTCATTTCCGACAGATCTCTGCCGAAGTTTTTGTAGGATTTGAGACGTTGTGGATCTTGTTCCGGCATTTTGTGCTTCGATGCAAACTTTATCTCCCAATCTCAAGAACTGCTCCTTCGTAAACACATTTCTTCAATGCAAACGGTGGCATGTCTGACCCGGAAGAACAAGAATTGGTGCGTAAAGTTTTACTTAAGCGTCACACTACATATGACTTCTTACATTTTGTGCTTTTAAGTATATAAATTACATTTTTGGAGTTGCAGTTTAAGTTTTTATTTATTGTGAATTTATATTATTTATTTTATTTATTCACAATAAATAAAAACTTAAACTGCAACTCCCAAAATGTAACTTATCGTTTTGTTCTTTTTTTTCTCTCTTTTTTGTCTTCTTCCTTCTCTGTACCCCCTTCCTCTTTGTCTTTCTTCTCTATACCCCCTTCCTCCCTTTGCCTTCTTTCTTCTCTATACCTCCTTCCAATGTCATGTTATTCAATCGTCACGGGCCTGTAAATTTATTTTGGAAAATAATTATGTAGCGTTCTTTGTGTGTGTGTTTTTTTCTGTTTTTTTTTTTAATAAACCTTATTTATTCATCAAATTTTTCACGTACGATTTCAATTTCAAATCATTTGTCATTTCTCTTTGGACTGTCATCGCTGAAACTCCTCTCTCACGTGCCAAACGTCTTATAGATTGAGTTGGATCTTTTCTAAATTATCTCTTTAGCTCTAAGTTGAAATTATGACCCCCACCTCGTCCTGTTGTGACCTCCTGGTCCAGTTTTCTCTCTACTCTTCCCTCGTTTTTAAACTTATTTACCGTCTTCCTTCGTCGAGGCATCTACCTGCTGGATGCGTCCTCCTGTACACGATGTTGAATGGCGACCATATCCGCTTTCGTACGTTACACTTGTTCTTCCTGCCTTCAAGCGTTCTACTCACTCATCCACCTTTCGCCTATTCACGCCAAAATCGGTCGAAGGAATTCGGAAGCCTTTGATCCTTCTGCCAGCAAAAAGCGCACTTCGGTTGTTCCTCAATGATGCAATCGATGCAAGGAGCGTCCTTACGTCTAACTTCGTTGTTCCCTACCACTCGACTCAATCATGAAATCTTGCTCGCGGCTAGCTACACGTCATCCCATGCGCACGCGTAGTGTTGCGAGTAGGCATCTCCATGTTGTTTTTACCACGTTATTTCAAAATTGCCTTTACTTTCTGATTTACCCTCGTGTATGTATTTTTTAAATTCATATTAACATTTTTTAACTTTGCATAATAGACAGCGTATATAAAAGCTTGAACTATTATTAGTTAGTGCTACGTTAGTAGGATTTATTCACTTTAAAAAAGTAAATGTAGGAATTCGGATGTCTGCTAACTAAGAAACGGAAAAGTATTTAAAAATGAAATCCTCTTATGAAAAATCTTTATAGTAATATGCAAGTCGTCAAAACCATTTGTATTAGCGGCTGTCAGATACACTTGCAGAGAATTGCATTAATGGCTCGCCAGCAACATATAAAAATAGAATTGAACAATTGTAGGAAAAACTTCACATTATTTGCACAAATATATGACAAATGCATTCGACTGATATTTGTTGATTAGCGACAAAATTTGATCATTTAAATGTTATATTCGTGATAAGACCAATGAGTGGAATTTCACCGTGTGTTTTTTGTTTTGTTTTTGTTTTTTAATCATTTCACCCCGAGCAAGGCAACGGATCCATTAACAGGCAAGGGGTGACTAACTGTAAAAGAATATAAGATAAACATCATTAAAGAGCGATAAAAGTTTTAAAAAAAAAATAATTTAAGAAGCCAAAAGACAAAGATTGACATTGCAATAAAAAAAAATCGAAGATCAAACTTGACAGGAAAGCAAGAATCCAGAAGAGAGTTTCACAATCGACAAGCGTGAAACTGTTGGCATAAAACTTAAGGTCACCTCTAGCTATTTCAACTGTAAATTGATCTGACCTTGCCACCAATCTAGTAATGCGCTTAAATTCATAAAGACTTGGTAGATTACCGATTTCATCAGAATATTTACCATCAATATACATCCTTGTACTTGTAAGATATTGAAGAATTCCAACAAAAATAGAAAGGCGAGTTACAGTAGTATATTTCGCATCATTGATTTCTCTTGATCTCTACCATGTCGTTCTATGTCGTCCTGTAGTGTGTTGTAAACGTGGTGTTTTCTACAAAGGATTTTAAAACTATTGTTTAATAGGAGAAATATCTGCTAGTTTGTCATTTCAGTGAGAGTGAATATCAATTAAGTTTTATTAAGTTGTACAGTTTTTAATGAAGATATTTAGAAACAGGTACCGACACCTCACTTTATACATTACCTTGTCAGTAAGATTTTGAAAACTTCGATTGCATCCCCTGTACAGGAGTATGAGACTTTCCGTACAGAAATGTATACATGAGCGTTATAAGAGTGACCACTGTCTACCTTTGCAGCACTCATGTAATCCAGATCTGCATCTATTTGCTTGTAGTCTCGTCTAAATAAGATGTATGTTTAGTGATTTTACTGTCAGCCTTTTTAGCTGTAATGTAAATGGAACCTGTATCTAACTTATTTTACTCTAGTGGTCTCAAGTATTCGGGCGAGGTACGTTCCTTAGCTCCACTAATTCTAACCTTCACAGCAAAGACCCAACATGCCATGTACATCGTAGCGAACCACTCTGATTCCCTTTGTATTCTGTTAGTAAGATGTAAGCCACTTTCAACGAACCCACTGCTTCCCCTATACATGAATAAGACACCTCCGCAGAAAATTTCGCCTTCCGTTTAGAAACGTGTACATGAGTTTATAAGATTGACCACTGTCTACATTTGCGACACATGTAATCCAAACATGCATCTGTTTCCTTGTACTCTCGTGTAAATAAGACCTATGTTTAGTGATTTTACTGTTCTTTTAGCTGTAATTCAAATCGAGCCTATATCTCACTTTCTTTACTCGCGTGGTCTTAAGCTTCTCACTGTTCTATCGTTACTTCAACGGAAAGTACTCGGACGAGCCACATTCCTTAGTTCCACCAGTTCTAACAATCACAGCAAAGATCCAGAATGCCACGTATATGGTAGCGAATCCCTCTCATTCCTTTTGTATTCTATTAGTGAGATGTAAGTTCCACCCGAGAAGCCACTTTCCACAAAACCCACTACTTTGTGAAACCGACTCCCAAAATGGTGTTTCCCCGATCATTGCAATCATAACCTGTTCAAGGGCTCGGATTAACGGTTACCTTCCGCACATATCCACATAAACTATAACTCTTACTCTGTAACCCTCTACCTTGCGTGTCTCTCTGGATAGTGAAGAGCATTGTAAAAAAATCGGGCCGAAGTTTACTGTTTGTGCTTTGTACAACTCAGACCCATATCTACCAATCTAGCTCTAGTATAGATCCCACGTATCATCTTATTTGGAGAATTCGCCAGTGGCAAGAGGCTACGCTGAGGCATTAAACGACGCTTCAAGGATCAGCTGAAAACACCCCTGACTCAGGCCAACATCAAACCTGAGACCTGGGAAACCGTTGATGCAAATCATCCTTCCTGGTGTAGGACAATCCGAGGTGGGTGGCGAGACTTTTGAATTCAACCGTCGGCATGTTTAGTGATGTGCAGGAGGGCCCGACTCGCCCAGCCGCGTAAACCACCCACGCTCAGGACTCTTTAGGGGTAGACTGGGCCTTCACGTCCATCTCCGTCATAGCCACCAGGAGCAAGAATGAGAATAAGCAGAGAGATGACGAATCCCGATGCTCGAGTGCGATCGGCTGCCGACAAAATCGAACTCTTTATTTTTTTTGGAA